CCTTCCCGAACCACAATCGCCTCACCTTTCCCTCACCCTTCTGCTAGGTTAGCAAGCTGTCGACTCCCGCTTTCCCCTATCTGACCAATATCTTTATCCAGAGGGCACAAGCTAGGTTATAGCAAGGAAATACAAGGTAAAATCTTTGTTCCCCTGTAGCAGTGACCTCAGGTACCCATTCCTGCTGGAAGTCTGTAGTCGGGACCTTTTACAGTTCTACGTGGCTGTGTTTGGTGATTGTTGGAGAGGTACTGCTAGGCGCAAACCCCTGGGCTCTTCTACTACACATACTTGCTGAAATGAATGGGATGTATGTAAGTGGACCTGTGCACAGGTCTGCATTGCAGCGGGTTGGACTAGATGACCCTCAGGGGTCCCTTCCAACTCCACAATTCTGTGATTCCAAGTCTGATTCATTTCAGTGGGGCCCGCGAAGGAGAATCTCCTCCTGGAGTCTATCGTGAGGAGCAAACGCTGCAGTAATTGGCTGCGTCCTAGCCTCCGCATCCAGCGACTGCAAGTGATCCACTTGCTTTTCGTCAGTAGAATTTTATCTTCAAATAGCTGCAACGTACGTGGCTTCAAGAAAATGTTCAACACTGAGTATTTTTTTTAAGTATTTAGAGGTTTGTGCCGTGTATCGTCCCAATACATTTCTACTTAAGACAATCAGTATAAATGCAGAGGCAATTTGAAAACAAAACAAAAAACTTAGTGCAATAATGTCGTTTAAACACAAATGAAGTGCACGGTTCAGCCCTGCCCCACTAATGAACTGAGCGGGGCCTAGCTCTTGCACAGCCCCCATGCATTTCATGAGTTTCCAGCTGAATGAGTTTCCAACGCATGAAATGTTGCTTTTCTGTGAAATGGACTGAAAGACAGATGAGCCGTAACCATAGAATCAGGATTGTAAGTGTTGGAAGAGACCCAAAGGGTCACTAGCCCAACGCCCTGAAATACAGGAACCAAGTTGCACACTGTTTTTATACATATACTGCTATCTTTACTTGTTGGTTTTGATTGTATCTGTTGGATTCCATTTTTAGGATGCACTGTAAATTTTTTTTTTTAAAAAACTGGATTTGCATGTACAATTTCTTAAGCACCCTTTTTGAGGGCCTGAAATTAAGTTTAATAGATTTGAAGCTTTAATGTCTATAAATTATGGCTCCTTGTACTATTTTTGTTTGTTTGTTTCAATTTACAGGCTGATTAAAATATTTCTGTGATGTTTATATGAACCGTAACATTTTCAATGATGCTGATTGTATTATGCGAAATAAAACTTTTCTGAATTCTGATTGGGGTGATGAATTATTTGGGGTGTGTGTGTTTTAGAGGAGTCCTTCCCAGCAAACTCCGGAGAGCTGAGAGACTGAACCTGAGACCTTCCTTATACAAAGGTAGGAGCGTTCTCTCTACCTCTGATTTATGCCCCCCTCACTTGAGGGATCACATTTTTTAAAAAATGCTCCCAACTAAATAAACCCCCACAAGGTGAAAGCTAATGGTTGCCCCACCTCTAAAAGGGTATTTGTTGTTGTTGTTTAGTGAGCACTCAGGGCTGATTTCCTTCAGAATGGAGAGGTTTGATCTTCTTGCAGTCCATGGGACTCTCAAGAGTCTCCTCCAGCACCATTCAAAAGCATCAAAGGGTATTGCAGTTGGAAAAGGTTCAGAAAACAGCAACGAAAATAATCCAAGGGGTGGAGCAACTCCCTTATGAGGAAAAACTGCAGCTTTTGGGGAAATTTTTTAGTTTAGAGAAAAGGCAAGTAAGAGAGAACGTGACACAAGTCTATAAAATCATGCATGGAGCAGAGAAAGTAAAATTAGAATTCATGGGCATCCAATGATACTGAATGTTGGAAGAACCAGGATAAAAGAATACTTCTTTACAAAGTTCATAGTTAAACTACAGAACTCCAAGCTACGGAATTTATGCCCTTAGCACACACAGGCTTATTTGTTAATCGACAGACAACTACACAAGAGCTCCACAATAAAATAGGTATTTGTGATTGGGTTTTGGGAGCTCTTGTACATGTCAAGAACATGAGCCTGCTGGATCCGGCCATTGGGCATCTAGTCCAGCATCCTGTTCTCGCAGTGACCAACCTGATGCCCGAGGGAAGCCTGCAAGCTGGGCATGCACTTTGCCCACTTGTGATTCAGAAGCATAATGGATGGATGGAGGGCATAGCCTTTGATAGCTTTGCCTCCCTGGATGTTTGCAAAAAGCAGCTGGGCTGGGGCATGTGGACTGGGACTATGGCCCTGGGGGAGGATGAGAGAATCCCTCCCACCATATTCCCAGTGATCCCTTGTCCCCCAAACTGCTGTTGGCCCAGTTAGGGGAAATTGACACATACAATTATGAGCATCTTCAGGGGCAAAATGATGCTGGGTGAAAGCGCTGATCCCTCTCCTTTAGTCTCTAGAGGGACCGCCTCTCCTGATATGCCCCGCGGAGGACCTTAAGGTCCACAAATGACAACATTTTGGAGGTCAGGTCGCAAGGTGGTTAGATTGGCCGCAACTAGGGCCAGGGCCTTTTCAGTACTGGCCCCGACTTGGTGGAACGCTCTGTCACAAGAGACTTGGGCCCTGCGGGACTTGACATCTTTCCGCAGGGCCTGCAAGACAGAGCTGTTCCACCTGGCCTTTTATTTAACCTGTATTTTAACCTGTATTTTAAATTGGGGTCCCCCCAATTAAGTTTTTACTGTAATGTTATTGGTGTTAGCCACCCTGAGCCCGGCTCTGGCCGGGGAGGGCGGGATATAAATAAAAATTATATTATTATTATTATTATTATTATCCTATCCTACAGTTGTAAGGGACCCCCCAGGTTCATCCAGTCCAGCCCTCTACAATGCAGGAATCTCAGCTAAAGCATCCATGACAGACAGCCATCCAACCTCTGCTTAAAAACCTCCAGTGAAGGAGAGAGTCCAGCACCTCCTGAGGGAGTCCGTTCCACTGTGAAACAGCTCTTACTTATTCATTTCCCTTCCCATGAAACATCGCCAAGTGATTTGACAGCAAAATCATGAACAATAGAAACACGGTGTGGGTTTCGTGGGGGGTGTCAAACAGCTCTTACTGCCAGCAAGTTCTTCCTGGTGTTTAGTTGGAACGGAATTACTTAACCCCTGTAGCCCCATGGAGGCTTTTGGGGACTGGAGATATAACCAGATCTGTATTAAGAATTTGGCTCTCAGTATTTAGAACTAGTGACCTGCCTGCTCTTCAGGTGCCCTGGGGTAGTAACAACAACAATAGTGATTTGTAGGAAGCCAGTGAAAGAGAGAGGTGTTTCAAGTAAAACTTTCCTCTTTTGCTGCAGTCTGGAGCCTAGAGAAGCTCAGAAATAAAAGAAACGCCTGACACTCCACAGTGGGTGGAAGGACCCAACAATCACAGAACTGCAGTTGGAAGGGAGCCTAAGGATCATCAATCCACCCCATGATGCAGGAATATGCAGCTGTCCCATACGGGAAGCGAACCTTCATCCTTGGCATTATCAGCACAATACTTTAACCAACTGAACTGTCCAGGCTCCAAATTATAGTTGCATATGAAGCTGGCGTGAATTTTGGAGGAGACCCAAGAGAAGGCAGAATAAACAGAACCGCGTGTCTAAATATGGCTGACAGAGGGAACACAAGCCATCATCTGTTTCCTGGGCAGCAAGGAAAAAAGCCAGATGTCGCTGCCATCATCAGACCATAAGTAATGTCGGCTGGTGTGATGAGCTGGACTCCAATAACATCAGGGGGTCCACAGCCCTCCCATCCCTGCATTAGAGAATGTCAGGAGGATGTTCCCCATGCCTGGGAGAAAAGAGCAGTGGCCCTGAGGCAAGCCAGGCTATCAGTTTGAGTTCCAGCATCTCTCTGAGAAACACTGGGCCGCTAGTTTAAAGGAGGCTTCCAGTGGCCCTAGATGAGCCTTGATGGTTTAGATCAAGTCTGTTTCTCACTATGGCAAACTAGATTATTGATTTGTTTGGATGTTTATTCAGCCCTTTTGCCCAAAGGAGCCCAAGGTGACACCAAACAAAATATTTTTAAAATAAATTGAAAACAATCAAATACCCTCATGGCTAAAAAAATGTCATGGTTGCCAAGAACTGAGATGTCTGTGGAAAGTCTCAAAATGGGTTGTGAAAACAATAAGCCTCCTCATCTGTCGTTTCAGTGGCTTTTTGCCTCTGAGCATCAAACTAACCACTAGTAGCCATCTTAAAGACCACTGCTATATCTTGGGGGCAGTGGTGGGTTCGCAGAACAAAAGACACTGGCTTTTGCTGAGTTCCATTTACACTAGGTGAGACCAAGAATATCTCTTTATGTGACCAAGAGCTGCATGTCTTCATATGGCCCACAAGTGAAATCCACCAGGGCTACTATCAACTCTTTCCCCCCAACCCAATCTATAGGACCCTAACTTGAAAGCCCTTTGGATAGCATTTCCTTGGCCAACCATCCAACTGGAGAAGCCAAAACCAGGTCTTCCCTGCTATCTACATGTTCTAGTAAAAAAAGGAAAAAAGTGAATTGGTACAATTTCAGGAAGTCCAGAAGGAAATGTTAGAAGCTTGTTTTTGCCAATTACATCTTTGCCAGTTCCTAATAGAAATGAGGATGATATCTGGACCTACACTGAAAGTAAAGTTTTGAAGGTTTTGGGGAAATGTCAGAAGTTCATTTCATTTCTCTCTGTCCCCCTTAAAACCTTAAGAATCACCAGTCAGCACCATGAGATTACCAAAAATTACCTTCATAGGTACACTGCTACTGACTCCTTTCTTGCCTGTGGGTGGCTGGTGTTTGGATGTGGGTCTGGTGCCTTAAAGGCGGTAAATCTGGACTGGGTGACATTCTCCCCCACTGCTGTGGGCACCTCAGTGGTCTACAGACTACTGTTTTGGCAGCTGAAGGCTTGCCAAATTTCCACCCAAGACCAGAAAAAGCTGGTGGTTTGATGCAAAACCTTTAAAAATAAGTTTTTAATTTGACTTATTTTACATTCCTTGTGAATTGCTACGATGGGAAAGTCAGGGTTCAGACATAGAAGTCTCCATTTCTTCCTCAAGGTACGGTTTTGTCTTAAGCAGGATGGAATCGTGCCACTGTTCATAGACAAGTGTGTAAGTCTCTGCCCTTTTGACAGTGAACCTGTACAAACGGTCGGGCAACAGGTTGTGGATTTCGCAGGTGTGCGACGTGACCGGCATGATTCCGCAGTGGACTCGCTCTTGGGGAGTTCTGGGCTCCAGCAGCTTAAAGCTGAGTTCGTACTGTTCGAGCTGCGGCTGCTGGCTGGTAACAAACCACTTGAGACTCACCCAGTCCTCGTGAGCCACCGACTCCCTCCGGTCAAACATCACGGGCATCTTTGTGCTCAGGACAAGCCTGATGTGAGGGATCTTGGTAATCCCGACGTCCGATACCAGGCGGTGCTTGACGTACAGCCTCCCCGGTACCAGCATAGCAAGGAAATAATCCATCTGCTCAGAGAGACTCGACAGCCTTGGTTTGACAGCGTCCCATCTGGAGAGGAAAGTCATCATGTCGTGGGTCTCCAGGAAGTGGACCAGCTCCTCCCGACCTTTCTCCAGCTCTTCCAACAGGTCAGACAGGAGCAGCAGCTGGATTTTGGTTTGGATGGTCCCCACTTTCTTCATCCTCTGGAACCTCCAGGGGTCTATCAGTTGGAACATGGTGGTGGGGAGCATCAGGTGGTTCTGATCTCCCAGTGCCAAGTGCTTAGGCAGGATTTCAATGTAGTAGGAGCACTTTTTCAGAAGCTCAATCCTCTTGTGATGGCGCTTGAGCAGGTGGAGGCTCAGGTCTGAGTGCAGGAACTCCAGCACGACATTCTTCCTCTCCATGTACATCCTCCAGGCTTCATTCTCCTGCTCCTCTTCGCTGTACACCACCGTCTGGAGGTTGGCCCCTAACTTGTTCAAATAGACATCAATAGTTCCAATGTTCATCATGCCTGGGCTGGAACACAAGAACGAAACAGGCACACAAAGGAAGAGCAGGTCAGCTGAAAGACTGCCATTGCGGCGGCTTCTGAACCCCTCTTAATTTTGGTTCTCAGAGGCTTGCAGCCAAAAGTTTTTCCAGTTATAAACGTGATAAGAGACTTCCTCTGTTCTGAAGCTCCTGGACCCTCTGCCATTCCTCTCCTAGTTTCCCTCCACCTTTCAAACTCCTCCCACTGACCCTTTTATTCATCTGGATCACTCCCTATGGGAACCCTACTTTCCTAGACTCCTCTGAGTCCCTCGGCTGGCTGCTGTTCTCTCCTCCTCCTTTCCGAGGCTCTTGCTTAGTCTATACACCTAAGGCAGGGATAGGGAGCCTGTGGCTGTTCACAGGTTGTTAGACTGCCGTTCCCATAATCTGACCACTGAGCCATCCTGGCTGTGGTTGATGGGAGCCAGAGTAAAACAATATACATGGAAAGCCACACATGCCTTTTTCTAGGATCTGAGCAGTTCTGCCAATGCGTACTTCCAGTCCACTAGCCAGACATGCTTAGGAAACAGAGAATCTGCACCAATGGGAGCTAGAGGCCTTCTGGCTATGTAGCTCTGCAGTGACCAGTAGGCAACTAAGCTAATTCCTCCCGGAGGCTACCTTACCACCATCAGACAATCCCTTAGTGCATTTATAGTGTATGTGTGGAAAGCAGCAGGAGGAAAGACAAGATGCAACAATCCTTCAAGGCTACAATAATGTCTGCTGCTCATCCTGGAACAAGGTATTTCCCTGGCACACTTTTGTGGCGCTACACTCTGCTTTATTTAAGAGGTATGGCTAAGCTGGGATGCGGGTGGTGCTGTGGGTTAAACCACAGAGCCTAGGACTTGCCGATCAGAAGGTTGGTGGTTCAAATCCCCGCGATGGGGTGAGCTCCCGTTGCTCGGTCCCTGCTCCTGCCAACCTAGCAGTTCAAAGCACGTCAAAGTGCAAGTAGATAAATAGGTACCTCTCTGGCAGGAAGGTAAACGGCGTTTCCGTGTGCTGCACTGGTTCGCCAGAAGCGGCTTAATCATGCTGGCCACACGACCCGGAAGCTGTACACTGGCTCTCTCAGCCAATAAAGCAAGATGAGCGCTGCAACCCCAGAGTCGGTCACGACTGGACCTAATAGTCAGGGGTCCTTTTACCTTTACCAAGCAGGGGTTATGCTTATGACATCTCCTCTTTATATTATTCCATTTTCGGGGCGGGGGCGGAATCCACTTATGTTGGCCTTTCTGAGTGCCTGTCAGGGAGTGCAATATCAAGGCAAACACAGAGGCGCTTGGGAGTGGGCATATGTCAGTGTGACCCAAAGCCTGAAAATGGTGGATGGACTCGTGTGTTTTTGTTGTACAGCAGAACTCTCAGAAAATCTGAAGCGTGCGTAAGGACAGGGAGCCCTGCCATGAGACATCCCTGAATGGCTGCAAGATGTTTCTAATGTACCTCCTTGTGACAGCATGTTTCCTTCTCTTGGCAGCGCTAGGGGCACACACACTTGAGCACTTAGCTCAGTTGAAACACAGGCACTAGTAGTTTTCTGCAAGCCTGACAGATGTCATGACCCTGAATGACACATTCTGCAGGTTTACCAGTAAAATGAGCATATCATGCAAAGATGCACCATGACCTTGAAACTAGAGGTGTTCTGTGGCAGCTGTTTACCTAGGCCTGTGGAAAGTGCTCTCTCTTAAAGGCTAAACTGTGCAAATAAATTAGGTTAGGTTATTCAGATTGTTTTATGCAATGCTGCATGTGGGTTTTCTTTTGCATTAACTTATTCATGTATTTGAATTGCTATTGTTCATTTGATATTTTGTAAGCCACTTTGGGCACAATTGTGCAGGAAAGTGGCATATAAATAAACAAGATGATGAAGTCTGGGTATGTAGAGAACAGCTAGCCTAGGGAGATCAACAAGGATCATCTGCATGGTCACTCCGTGACTTTCTTTCAGGCCTTCTCAATTCTCACTATTTTCAGCTTTTTACTCATCTCCACAGCCATGATCTCTAGAGACATACTGTATTCCCTTAAAAAAAAAAAAAAAAGTCAAAGGCAGTATTTTTTTTTTTTTGTAAGATGGCATATGCAATGACTACTACCATTCAGTAAAACTCGAATGGTAAATTGGTTCATAGCTCAGCTCCTTAGCTAAGGATCCCAAAACCTACTTAAAATATCATCTGCCTTAAGAGATAAATTAAGGCTAAATGTGTCCAATGCCAACTATAAAGCACTAATAAAGAGCTGTGAAAACCAAGGGGACATATAGTAGGCAGCTTGGGGGTTCCCCAAAATAACTTTAATTTCAATGCTGTATTTGCCTTTGGCTATATCCTGAGCCTTTAAAATCCTAAGAACTTGAAAGCTGACTTAACCATGAACCTTCCTGTTCCTTGGACTTCTATGAACCCCTTCTTCTCATCCCCCAGGATGTCCCATATTCTCATTCCTCAACCTTCAGGGCAGGGGGAGGAGGCCAATTAAAGATGCTCACAAACGCTTCAGCTTGTGATCTGTTGCAACAACCAGACTGGAACCTGCTGGTTTATCAATGGCCATTTAACCAGAGAGCGCCCAGGGCCTGCCTGCAGTCTTTTTCTTTTTTTTTTACCCTTGAACTTTCTCAGCCTGGCTCCTCTGTGCATCAAAACCACAGCCATAGGGGGAGAAAGTACTGTAGTGTGCAAAAGCACAACTGGACAGCTGGTTGCCTGGCAGCCAAACCTTGGCAAAACTGTGAAATGTGAAAATCATCCCCAAGGTGTACTCGCTGCCGCTGTCTGGTGCACACCTTGTTCACACGGCACATTTCCCCATTAAGAATGGATGCAAGGTGTTTGTATGAGTACAGCGGGCAAAATGACTGCATGAACCAGCTCCTAGGACCTGAGCCTCCCTCCTTTTACCCATATATTGGTGTGTGGTATTGTTAGGGTGGCAGCACGGACACTTTGGAACTCCCTGCCTATTGATAATAGGCAGTCACCTTCAATATATATTTTTGGCATGGCCTGAAGGCCTTCTCATTTAGACAAGCCTGCCCAGGTGTCATGCATGATTTAATTACAGTTCCTGCAATGTTGTACTAAAGGACCCTGGGATTCCTCTTCCAGCTCTATCTACCATTCCATGCATGAGTTTTAATTTGTTTTAGTCCGTGCCATTTGTGGCTTTAACCTTTTGGTACATTTTAAATTATGCTTGCAATTTTTGTGTGTGTGATTAAAAAAAAAAAAGAGCTTCCTCTTTCTTTGCAAACCACTTTGAGGTCCACCGTCTGCCCCCCCAGTACAACCAAGCGGCATATCAATTTATGAAATTAAACGAACAAAACATTGCAGCCTGGGGCTCATCCTCCTTTCTGTAGCCCCGCTGTGCTTTCGGCTCAGTGGGTACCTCACTTTGCACCCCCTGAACCCCTCGATGGATTTGGGTGGAGGTGGCAAGAGATATTCTCCCTCAGCTGACTCCTTCCCTACCTGTGAGACAGGTGAGTTCCTTTCTGCAAAGGCGGCCTTACTTCCACTTCTGTCACCCGCAGCCGTGTTTAGGGAAGCTTTTAATATCTGATGAATTATTGTATTTTAATATTTTGCTGTAATGCAAGCCGCCTAGAGTGGCTGGGGAAACCCAGCCAGATGGGCGGGGTATTAATAATAATAATAATAATAATAATAATAATAATAAATATAATACTAATAATACTAATAATGATAATAATAATAATAATAAATATAATAATAATAATAATAATGATGATGATGATAATAATAATAATAATAATAATAATAATATTTTTTTGAGGTGGGACACCTGCAAAGGCTCCCACCCACCCCCATAAAGCAGGGTTTCCAAACCTGGGTCTCCAGCTGTTGTTTTGGGACTACAATTCCCATCATCCCTGACCACTGCTCCTGCTAGCTGGGGGATGATGGGAGTTGTAGTCCAAAACAACAACTGGAGACCCAAGTTTGGGAAGCCGTGGAGCAACCTCCCCTATGGCCAATGCCCCCGGTATGTGGGTGGGGGGGGGAGGCGCCCCTTTCCCCTCCCTTCCACCTATGCAGCCCCCAACGTTTTCGCCCCCCCCCCCCCGGGTCCCGAGGCTTCTCCCCCTCCCCTCCCCCGGGAGCCTTACCTGTGGCTTAGCATGGTTGCTCCCGGGGCAGCCGCTCACCCGACACCCCCCATCTGCCGGGCCCGGGGCCGGAGCCAGGCTCGGGGCTGCGCGCAGGCCTCGCCCGTCGCCATGGCAACCCATTGTTCCGCGCGGCCGCGTTCTGGAGCCCGCAGGCCTCGCGAGGCCCGCGCTTGAACCCGGGGCCGGCGGGGGGCGGGCGGGGAGAGCGGAGGCTTCCGAGGGGGGCTCCGTCCGTCTGTGTCGTTGCAGGTCCCTTGACTTGCAACTCACTGGAAAATCAGTTGTTATTATTATTATTATTATGCAGGTCGCTTGGCTTGCGACTCACTGGAAAACTCAGTTGTTATTATTATTATTATTATTATGCAGGTGGCTTTACTTATGACTCACTGGAAAACTCAGTTATTATTGATATTATTACTATTATTATTATTATTATGCAGGTTGCTTGACTTGCAACTCACTGGAAAACTCAGTTGTTATTATAATTATTATTATTATGCAGGTCGCTTGACTTACAACTCACTGGAAAACTCAGTTATCATCATCATCATCACTGAAAAATTCAGTTGTTGTTGTCCTCATCATCAATATCATGGGATCAGCCCGGGGGTGGGCAGCTGCCCTCCATCAATTAAAGCCAGTAAAAAATAATAAAAATCCTTAACTGAGTGAGGTTCTGCTCCTGCAACAAAAATCCTCACCACCACCATCATCATGGGATTAGTCAAGGGGGGACAGGTGCCCCACCCAATAAATGAAAACCAGTAAAAAAATAAAAATCCTTAACTGAGGTTCTGACCCTCCTAAGAAAAGCTTTCCCCCCAAAAAATCCTGACCATGCCCATCATCATCATCATCATCATCATCATGGGATTAGCTAGGGAAGGCAGCTGCCCCCTCAATCCCCACATCAAAACCTCTTGCAAAAGTAGAAGGGTCCCTTTGTGCCCAAAAGCCTTTTTCTGTGCAAATCCTTCTGGATTCCCAGGTCCTGACTTACAAAAGGACATTTTTTTCCTCCCACAAGAGGGCAGCAAAGTTGTCTTTCTCCACTTCTGAACTGGCTTTGAATGTTGGGTTGTTTATAGGATCTTGTAGCCTTAATGATTTCGTGGCTTCAGGCCCAAAAAGAAGCAGTCTTAAATGTCGGTGGGGTGGGGAGCCAGACATTTCGCATAAGTTTTAAATCCAGGACATTTTGAAAAGGAGTGTTTCCAGTGATGGATTTTACATGTTAGAATTTGAAATGTGGGAATCCATAATTCCCACCCTAAAGAAGTTCATTTGTTTACTGGTTAAAATATTAGACTACCTGCTTAACACAATAGGATTAGACAAACAGATTCCTGAAGGACAGGTGGCTATTAGCCATGACACCTAAATGGAGCCTCCATGTTCATAGGCAGTATACCATTTGTCAGAGGGCTCACAGCACGGGCGACCTGTTCCTTTCATGCCTTTTGGAGTTTCTCAAAAAGTATTTGGCAGAAACGGGAAGTTGGACAAAACGGATTTTCGGTGTGATCTTGCAGAGCTCTTTTTGTATTTTTAAAAGGAATCTCTCTGATCCTCCTGGTAAAGGTAAAGGGGCCCCTGACCATTAGGTCCAGTCGTGGCCGACTCTGGGGTTGCGTCGCTCTTCTCGCTTTACTGGCCGAGGGAGCCGGCGTACAGCTTCCGGGTCATGTGGCCAACATGACTAAGTCGCTTCTGGCGAACCAGAGCAGCGCACGGAAACGCCGTTTACCTTCCCGCCAGAGCGGTACCTATTTATCTACTTGCACTTTGAGGTGCTTTCGAACTGCTAGGTTGGCAGGAGCAGGGACCGAGCAACGGGAGCTCACCCCGTCGCAGGGATTCGAACCGCCGACCTTCTGATCGGCAAGCCCTAGGCTCTGTGGTTTAACCCACAGCGCCACCCGCATCCCTTGATCCTCATGGAGGGGAGTTCAAATTATCAATGAACCTCCTGGAAAAGCTGTGCTTTAAGAACTTCCAAAATTTAGGACCTGGTGAGAGCTAGCCAGGACCATCATCCGTGGGAAGTCTTGTCCCACTCATGGGTTCCAAATCTGCTGGGGTTTTCAGCAGTGGCAGATACCATAGAGCACTGATGCACTGCTTTTTGGCTTTGCTTTGGGGCATCTGTGAAAACAGAACGCTGGACCAGATGGGCCTTTGGCATGATCCAAAAGGGCTCGGATGTTCTTACCTTTCCCGCCCCGATCTGGCCACAGTGATCCATGCGACGGTCACTTCCAGGCTTGACTACTGTAATTCGCTCTACGTGGGGCTACCCTTGAAACTGTCCCAGAAACTCCAGCGGGTGCAGAATGCTGCAGCAAGGCTCCTCACGGGGTCCCTGCCATGGGAGCATATTCACCCAGTGCTTTACCAGTTGCACTGGCTCCCGGTGGAGTACAGGGTCAGGTTCAAGGTGCTGGTTTTGACCTTTAAAGCCCTTTGTGGCTTAGGGCCCTCGTACTTACGGGACCGCCTCTCCTGGTCTGCCCCACAGAGGACCTTAAGGTCCATGAATAATCATAGTTTAGAGGTCCCAGGCCCTAAGGAAGTCAGGTTATCCTCCACCAGGGCCAGGGCCAGGGCCTTCTCAGTGATGGCTCCGACCTGGTGGAATGCTCTGTCCCATGAGACCAGGGCCCTGCAGGATTTAACTTCCTTCCGCAGGGCCTGTAGGAAAGAGCTAGTCCTCCTGGCTTTCCAATTTGAACTTAGCCTGATCTTTTATTCCCCTTCCTTCCCTCCCCTCCCTTTTTATGAAGATTACCCACTCTGGGATCCCACAGCTGGTAATTCCACCTGGTCTCCTCGCTGGCCCAAATAGGACTAATTTAGCCAGCTAGCCCTGGTGATCATCTAATGTTTATTGGATGGTTTCCCCCCTAAATTAGATCTTTGATTTTATTGTTATTCACGTTTTATACTGTATTTTATGCTGTGTGGGTTTTTTTGGTAGCATCAATTAAGTGTTTTAAATCTGTTGTTAGCTGTCCTGAACCGGGAAGGGCGGGGCATAAATAAAAAATTATTATTATTTATTACAGCAACATTATTTCCCACTCATCTGAGTCTTTATCCCATGATGTATAGACTGGTGGGTGACAGGAAGCTGCAACGAACTGCAGAATACTCTGAGCACACCTGTTCCTTGATTTGTGGATGCCTCCCTCCCCCCCCCTTTGCATAATGATGCTCACCACTCTTGGCCCAATCGCACAGAAATCTTCCATGTCACCGCCACATCTTCCAGGGTGTTGTTGGCATGGAGACACCTACATGCAATTATGCCCAAGCACGTACCAAGCTGCATAAAATGTGAACCGTGCCCATCTGGAGCACAGTCTCATGACGTGGATTCTAAATCATTTCCGCGTGTCAGGGATGTGTTTGATTCGGCCCTAAGTGCAAATATATCTGTAAGAGAAAGAAAGGGGGAAAAAAGGAAAAGGGCAACATTTTAGTTAACAATTTTCAGAGGTTGGAAAAAAAAACAGAAAAAAACTTCCAGTACTCTGATCCTGCACCACTGAGAATTTAGTGTGCCTGGGGAGCAGGATAGTAAATTATCCTAAAAATTAATTTATTAATTACTCATCTGCCAGATTTGGTCTTCCTTAAGATGCAACTGCTTTGCGTATATCAAACACAGCTAAGGCTGCACCCAGTACAAGCTTCTGAGGGAGACTTTGTGCAAGATGTCATGCATGCAATATTTTTGTTGAACTATTTTTGTCTACGTGCTGCGGATGTAGTGGATGGCATCATTCGTGTTTTAAGTCATATTGCTGCTGTCAGTGAATGGGTGCAATTCACACTTGGGTATGTTTCCTGGTCCCGTGCATTGATTTAATTCTCTGTGTATGTTCGGTGTGTATGTGTGTGTCTTATGGCTGTTTTAAAGCTAGGAGGTTGTCTTTATCCCAGTATTGCTGTACCCTGCACTGCCTTTCTGGGCACCAAAAATGAGTCGTAGAGCACCACCCTAGAGCCGGTAATCAGATGGCACCGTGTATGTGTGCCACTCTGCCAGTGCAAAGAATTGCACTCAGGCTGCCAGACAACCCTCTGCCCTTCCTGGCATGTCTGTGAAAAACTCTGTGCATGTAGACGTTCCACTGGTGGCATTCCAATGATCTTAGGACTGAAGGGGCAGCCATGGATTTATAGGTTCTTTAGTGCCCTCATTTCCTTGGCACAGTCAGAAGTGAGCTCTCAGTTATGCCAGCTCTAGAGGTGGTGCCATCACCATCGTTTACTCATTTGTTGTTGTTGTTTAATCGTTTAGTCATGTCCGACTCTTCGTGACCCCCTGGACCAGAGCACGCCAGGCACTCCTGTCTCCCACTGCCTCCCGCAGTTTGGTCAAACTCATGCTGGTAGCTTCGAGAACACTGTCCCACCATCTCGTCCTCTGTTGTCCCCTTCTCCTTGTGCCCTCCATCTTTCCCAACATCAGGGTCTTTTCTAGGGGGTCCTCTCTTCTCATGAGGTGGCCAAAGTATTAGAGCCTCAGCTTCAGTATCTGTCATTCCAGTGAGCACTCAGGGCTGATTTCCTTCAGAATGGATCGGTTTGATCTTCTTGCAGTCCATGGGACTCTCAAGAGTCTCCTCCAGCACCATAATTCAAAAGCATCAATTCTTTGGCGATCAGCCTTCTTTATGGTCCTGCTCTCACTTCCATACATCACTACTGGGAAAACCATCGCTTTGACTATACGGGCCTTTGTTGGCAAGGTGACGCCACTTAATGCCAAAATAGAATTCTTAAGTAGAAAGGTTGCCAAACCAGTCACTTTGTCGGGGCAATGGCTTTGGCTGACTAAAAAGCACCATGATTAGCGTAACAAAAGAAGTTGCTCAGTGCCTTGTAACAAAATTGGTGGGCCTTTCCTCCAGCCCCTCACCTAGCTATACTGGGTAGGAGAACAGTAGCCAGTGTAGCGTGAGTGAGCAGAACTGCAAACAGGCTGGGAGCTGGAGACACAGAGACCTGCTTGCTCTGTGCTGGATCCAAAGCTGTGACTAATGGAGAAGCAAGATGTGTTGGGCTGTCTGTGCTGTGAGTCCCTGCACCTTATGATGTAGGTTGCATATGTGTATAAATAAAACCATATATTCATGTTCTCCACTGACCTTCATTCCAAAGAAGCCAAACTTGAGCAAGTCCTGGAGTTCTCTCGTCGCTCAGAGATTGGGGGATGGCGTGTAGCAAGATAGACCAGCGTGGTGTAGTGGTTCAGAGCGGTGGACTCGTAATCTGGTGAACCGGGTTCGCTTCCCCGCTCCTCCACATGCAGCTGCTGGGTGACCTTGGGCCAGTCACACTTCTCTGAAGTCTCTCAGCCCCACTCACCTCACAGAGTGTTTGTTGTGGGGGAGGAAGGGAAAGGAGAATGTTAGCCACTTTGAGACTCCTTAAGGGGAGTGAAAGGCAGGATATCAAGTCCAAACTCCTCCTCCTCCTCTTCGTCTTGTAATACAAAACGCAATCAAAACACACAGTAACCAGAGCAGGAGACTTGGTTCAAGCGATCAAGGAGTTCCCTGTGCAAACAGGTGTCTTAACACCTTCCCGTTGACTGCAGGGGGCAAGGGAGCAAAGGAATTGGCAAAGGAAAAATAGTAAGAAAAAGCTGCCCTCCAACATGTTTGTACTGTGTCCAGTTCTGGGCACCACAGTTCAAACTGGAACGTGTCCAGAG